CAGCCTTGTTGTTCGTTTACATATGGTAAGATCGAATTATTGTTTGAAGTTAAAGGTACATTTATTAAATCTGGAATTTTCCATGAATCCCGAGGACTGGAAATGAGAGGATTGTATGGATACAGATGATTCAGCTGGTTGTCAGGGGGATGCGTCCCCGTACCAAACCAGGTTATACAGAAATAATTTGTGTTCCTTTTTGGATATTTACCAATCAGAGGATAGAATACAAACAAAATTAAATTATTACATAGTAAACATTATCTGTATAAATATAAAAAACATTTAACATCTATAAAAATACCTTTTTTTTTTAATTTCATTGTTTATTGCTCTATTATTTTGCAACATCGGTGCTATGGATATTTTTTTCATCAAGATACGTGTTGCGTTTGTGATTGTGCAGAAATAAACTCATAAAAGTGTCAAAATCATGTAGTCAAAATGCGCAGATGTATTGTATCTGTCCAGAGATCGAAAAAGTATAATTATAAAGCCATCTGTTTTATGAAGCATGATAATTTCAGGGAAAAAACATTAGTTTGATAGATTTCTCAACTCATAATATTTGGATAAGAATCCGTTAACACTAAAAGCCACACACAGTCAGGAATAGGTTATGAACTTTACTAATATTACAAAATTTATCTCTTTATATAGAAAAAAATTACTGATCAAAAACATCCTAGACTCTAGATCTGAACTTTCAGCAATGATGATAATAAAACAAACTCTTTTTGTCCACAGAATAAATCCTTAGACACACATATTACAAATAAAAACTCAATGCTCAACTCAGATGTATGACTTAAGGTCTGCACGTCATTCAGCACTTTACAGATCGAATGCTTCATCAGGTGTAATTCTCCATCTTCCTGTTTCTAGCTTTGTAGCTTCTTAATGAGGAACAAATAACTGTGCTACAAAACAATTAATTATCTAAGGTAAAAAAAAGTCTTGGCGTTTGTCATGCCGTATAATGTGATGCCGTATAATATGATATCCAATGAGCCGACTCTAGTGCAGCGTAGCTAACAGAGGCAGAAGCAGCTGCTTTCAAGAGATGTCCTATGTTTATCTCAATAATCTTATGATATTTTGCAGTTGCTTTTCTGCTCTATCTGAAAATCTTTGACAATATTTCTGAAATCAGTTTCTTCTAATACTTATGTCAAAATGAGAGCTTAAAAAGGGTGTAAAATCATACATCAGTAAATACTTTTTTGGAAAAAGGGAAATGAAAATACTTTTGAACCAAAGGTAAAATTTGTCTATAAAATAATATTCTAAAGACAATACAGACAAAATAAGAATTGTCTGTGTCTTTCAAAATAAAACTAAAGTTTGAATTCACTATGTCTCTTTTATTGTTTGAAATGAACATTACCTTAAAAACCTAATTATATCCAATACAATCAGTAAGTTTATGATGTAAGCTGTGAAAGTCTAAAAGAATGAAAAACACTGTTTCGTATATCTATTTTGCAAGATTCTTAAAATTCACTTCACAATGACAATCTGATATAAATATTTTACTGAAGGGATCAATTTGAGGGGTATATCAGTTTTAGTGGTGGAGTAGTGAATGGTCAGGAAGCCTGTGGCACAATACGAAGTTAAAGGAAATAAATAAATTTTTTGCAAACCTACGAATTTTCTGTACTTCATATAACCATTCCTTACGATAAATAAAAAAAACTGGGCTTTTTGTTGACATAGATAACTGCTTCTTCAATAAAAATGGAACCGACAATTTTCGTATCTTCTGATTCATCATAAAAAAATACTATGTTAAAAACCATTCTGATTCTACTGACAAGTACTCTGTTGTTGTTATGAAGAGGATACCGGAGTTCCTCATCTCTCTCTCTCTCTCTCTCTCTCTCTCTCTCTCTCTCTCTCTCTCCATTCATCATACAAACATAGACATATTAGCTATTGTGAAATCATCACTTTTGTTGTTTTGTAGAAGATTATTTCCACTTTTAGAAACATCAAGTCGATATGCATTTCAGAATCTATAAATAATAACACAAGTTTATATGCTGAGATCAAGTTTGAGCCAATCAGAGAGCTTGAAATGATAAAGAAAAATGATATCTAGAATATATATATATATATATATATATATATATATATATATATATATATATATATATATATATATATATATATATATATATATATATATATATATATATATATATATATATATATATATATATATATATATATATATATATATATATATATATATATATATATATATATGTGATATATTCGTGTATAATCATGGTTGATTCAAACTTATTGATGATACAGTATCTGTCATTATGTCATTATAAGCCCATTATTACAGTGAAGTTTTACATATTCCTGATGCTAGTACCTCAGTCATATTATGTTGCCTTAATATGTCATTGTAATACTATCAGAATATTTTGATATAAAAAACTAAATTATACTTATCATTCTAAATAAATGCGACATAGAAAATAGGCTATAAAAAATGAATTCAGTCATCGACAGATATGTATTTGCACTAATGAAAACATATCCCTCTAAAACTCAATTCCCTGAAAGACCATTACGTCAGTTTAGATGTTTCCCAGAATTTGGGAGCCTTAAAATCATAAGGTTTGACATATCAGTAAGACTTCCTATAAAAATGAAATTTTTATGCAATTAAAATGCTACAGCCGTCATCATCAACCTTTGTGGAATTTTAATCTAATTTTCTCAGATAAAGTGGAATTGTTCTGTGATGGTGAAAAAGGAAGAAATTTATGAACGGTTTTAGATAAGTATGCCTCAATTTTCATTTTTTTAACCAACATTATCAAATCTAAAAAAATGCACGTTATACTATGAAGTGTAACCTTACACAAATTGAATAGATTTGCTTGATTTTATAAATAAAAAAATCTTACGAATTGAATTTTTATCAAAATTACACTAGTAATAATAATTCAAAATCTCAAAACTTTTCAAATTTCAAAATCATCCAAACAAGATTTTTCTTCACCTATATAACAGTATTTCTCAAATAAATTAAAACCTAGACTCTTTAATATCAGATAAAACTGTTTCCTCAACAGAAATGGAACTAGTAAATTTCCATATCTCGTGAATTGTCCTCTACAAAATTACTTCATTAAAAAAACCCAATCTGATTCTATATATCGTTTTATCAATTAACAATGATTATTTTAAGTCATTTGTCGACTGTATATATCCCACAGAACTCGCAATTAAAGACACAACAGAGTCTGACACATCTGTTTCATATTTGGATGTTTTACTTACTATTAATGATAATATCCAACCAATAATTAGTAAGGCAAACTGGATGGTTTCAGCTTTTCCATCGACAACAGTCCTTATTTATGTAGCAATATTCCAACATCACCTGCATATTGCGTCTTTCTTCCCAAATTTTCGATACGCAAGATAATACTTTGAATATGGTCATTTTTTAAACGGAGTGAGACTACTGACAAATAAGTTGACGTTACATGGATGTTCAACAACCCCTTTAAGGTCAGACGACACGTTCCTAGAAAATATTAATTTTTCTCAAGAATTTGTCATTGAAGTATAGCTACTTAAAGAAGTTTCCTCTGCAAAAATTGAGGTACCTTACCAGGTATTTGGACAAGATACCAGAGGGTGATATTTCTTATATAATCCTTATGGGTAATCTTTTGAACTGCCAATGTAACAATCTTTGGTGTACTTATTTTTTAAAACATATTGAAAACAATTTAGAAATCACAAGAGAATGATAATTATGAATAATTTTTGAAGTAATACCAAGGTATACAAAACATATATTTGAGGAACCTGTCGTCTGACCTTAAAAGTCAGCTTTTTTTCAGATTTTGTACGGTCTTTATAATGACCATGTTCGTATATATAACATATTAATGGGTTATATTTTATTTGATATGTTTCAAACCATTTATTAGGTCATCTTTTTTATACACAATTTGACTAAGAAGTGTCCCGTCTACCTGGTCAATACATAGGACTCATAACAGGTGTGACTGGTAGTCGACAGGGGATACTTACTCCTCCTGGGCACCTGATTCAACCTTTAGTGTTTAAATCGGTCCGTGTTTTTGCCCTGTTAAAGATCCGTTTAATTACGTTGTTTTCTTAATCAGTGTTAAGTGCAATCATCAAAAGTGTTCCATATCTACAGTAAATTATATATATATATATATATATATATATATATATATATATATATATATATATATATATATATATATATATATATATATATATATATATATATATATATATATATATATAAAGTACTTGCAAATTTTAGTGAAAAAATTTTGGACAATCATTCCGTGCCGTTTAGCACCCAAAGCTACATAAATATCTCCTTTACTGAAGGCAAGATAACCTAATTTCTTTAATTCCTTCCTGTTTTCCTAGCAAATAGTCTTTCCTCAGCTGCCATTTTATTTCTTATCGTATTGATGCAAGTTTTTTTTTTTTTTTTTTTTTTTTTTTTTTTTTTGTTTGTTTGTTTTTGTTTTAAACAAACTACTTCTTGTCTAGAAAAGAAATTTAAATGGAAATAATCGTATTTGCGTGCTAAACAGAAGTCTATCATGTGTCTTTTACATTAGCATTGACGAACACAATTATCTACTGGGGATATGACATAAAGAAAAACACAAAACCACTTAACTTGTCCATGTTTTCAAATATTTTAAGAGGGTCAAGAGAGAATGAAGTAATATAAAGTGTTCAATGAATTACCAAATTGAAAATTAAAAAAAATCAGAAAGATATAAATATTTATTTTTATTAATCAAACTGTAGTATAAAATTTCTGTTGTGATTTCCTGAGCCAATATTTGTTACACTTTAAGTCTATCGTTTTATCTCAGTTTCTATTGACCTACAGCAAGTATATATGAGCAGATTGTCGATACGTAACAGTCATTATTGTATCAGTTATCAAGCCTCAGCTGCAGTCTGTGCATTCAGGGCGTTAGGTTTCTGCATTGAGAAGTATAAAATTGGATGTATCCTGTTAAACTCTAGATATTCTTCAGTCAATAAAATTGTGCAACATGTATGATGTCAACAACACCACAGAGAATAGTTTTGACAACATTGACACCAACGAAGTGAATGTCACTATTTTTGTTGTGATTTATATTTTAATCGGATTCTGCGGCCTTTTTGGAAATGCTTTGGTTATTTATGTAATACTGATATCACCAAAGATGAGAACTCTTACGAATATGTACCTTTTGAATTTGGCTTTTTCAGATTTGATATTTTTATCTCATATAGCGATGGTAACAACTACAATTATAATTGAGTACTGGGTGTTTGGTGAAATCATGTGTAAGATTTTCTTTACAACACAAGCTATAACGACATTCTCCAGTGTTTTAACTTTAACAAGTTTAAGTGTGGATCGCTACATTGCAGTATGTAAGCCTGATGTAGCTTACAAGTACAGACAACCACTTAAAGCAGTGTTTGTGATAATTTCCATTTGGATCTTCTCACTTTTACTCTCAATGCCTATAATTCTGTATTCGAGAAGAATACCACATCCTTACATGAAAGGAAAAGATTCCTGCATGGTGAACTGGCAGGACGTGAAGGAAGTTCCTATATATATCATTTATATCTTTATTCTTGGATTTGCTATTCCACTGTGTTTTATATCCACATTTTATACCTGTGTTATTGTTCATATGAAAAGTGCCGGACCCGCCAATAGGCAAAGATCAAAGGAACAACACAGGTATCATAGAAAAATCACGTACCTTGTTTTGGCCATCATTTTGTCGTATGTTATTTGTTGGTTACCCTATTGGATTTTTCAGATTGTTCTTGTAGTTGTATTTAAGTACAAAACTGTTGCAGAGATAATGGTAATACAACAAATCTGTACAGTCTTAATGTTTGCCAACAGTATGGTCAATCCTTTTTTGTACGCATTTATCAACAGAGACTTTCGACATAGATTTAAAGAGGTGTTTCAGTCACAGTGCGTTTTGAAGGAGCGTAGTGGATTTATTTCTACGAAAGACAATGACAACAAAATGGAACTTGATTTGTTGCCAAGACATGATAGTAACCAAATCGAGGCAGAACAAAATAAGTAAAACGAATAACATTGCCTAAAAAATGGAAGCGAATGCTATGGTCTGTAATATTGTTTGCATGGAAAAAAGTGATATAAAAGTAGAAACTGTCTAAATGAAAATATAAAAAGAGAATGGCCTGACTAAACTGCCTTAACATCTGTTGGTTTCGTTTATCTGAAACTTGATACTGTGGATTTGTTTATTGGAACGAAAAATGTGTATTTTATTTTAAGGTATGTAGCTAACAATTATGTAATGTCATGCAGGAGTGTTTTAGATTAGAAATCAGAATATGCTTTAAATAATAAAAGGATGATTATTTGAAGATTCTTGTGATTTTAAAAGAAGAGTTTATTAGAGTGTTACTTCGTGACGATGGTATTGTCTTTCAAAGCTTATAAATACGTGTTTTGCGTCTACTAAATTTTACTTCAAATAATGTCCAAAGGTAGTCTTGGCTGTTTTACGTAGCTGCCACAAACTTTGACCATCACACAATGTTGGTATGTTTCTAACTGACCTCTTAGCTTTTAAAAACTTTTCACTTTTTTTTTATTTTTGTCATTGCATGCAGTAAGAATAGTTTCTTTGATACACCCTCGTAGATCTGTGCATGAGTAGCCGAAAGAGCTTTAAGATATTTTTGGTTCCATGCTTATAGAATTACTGGAGAAGAAATAGATATATGAATATCAATATTTATCTGATATCTGAATATCAGTATCTAAATAACTTTTCTTACCTTGGAACATTTCAGAACGGAATCCATACTGAAGAGTAATTGTGGACACTAATTCTGTAATTATATTTGTCCCTTTTAATTTGCCCTTACAAGTTGATTGTGTACTGTCAAACTCAGCAAAAAGTATTTTTATGACATTCAGTGGAAAAGTTTGCTATTGTCAGAAAAAAAAATATTTACTGCATCGTCTTCTAAAGCTATATTGGTTGTCAGGTACGATATAAAAAGATTGAAGGGGAAAAAAAACAAATGCATATTTCTATATTTTTATTCAATGCTTTTTTTCCCAGGAGGATTAATAGTGTTAAAATCACCATGACCACCAAGGCCCCTGAACAATTAATAAAATGTCGAGATATAATGAACCAAAGTATCGAATCAATTAGAAAAATGTCAGTTTCAGATAAATGTCGGAATCATAAAGGACCTCTTTATAACAATAAGGCCCAGACATTATTGAAAGAACACATTAGTGCCTGATTCTAAATACAATACGTGATAACGTATTGTATTCTAAATTTTATACAGAAATGATACATTTGTTTGGAGAGTTTTGTGTGTTTTGTCATGGATGATTCTAAATCGTTTTAGAAATATCTCTGCATGTATTTTTAATCCAACAAAGTACTTGTAAGACTTTCTATTGCAATTTTAGAGAAGCTTTATTTCTACCAGTTGTATTCAACTTATACTCGTTGTTCCCTTTCAAAAGCAGAGATTCTTCAAAAAAGTACTATAATGTCAATTTCAATAGTAAATTTATTATCAAGGATTTTATATTTCAAACGATGCCGCGCCGCGGTAATATAAGTAGTGTTCCTTCCCCAAACTCCCGGTATTAGAAGTGACATTTACGGGTCTTAAGGATGTGACCTTAAAACCGAAGCCCCATGTGTCAAGGTAGGCGTTGGCATGATAAAGAACCCTCACTGCTCAATGGCCGAGAGTGCCAAGGATAGGTCTAAATTTAAAGCCCTTCAACGGTTTATTTTGACGTCTCCATTAGGGTGAAAAATTCTCCAGTGGAATGTAAAATGACATACAATCAATATACTTCTCAATAAAATATTAACAGCAGTGAACGAGAAACTTCAGCAGTAATGTGAAAGAACATCTTCAAAATTATCCTCTACAAATTTGTTAAAAATCATTCTGATTCTACACACAAGTACACTGAAATTTATTATATGATTGATTGATTGTGTGTTGTTTTGCGTCCCGTTCGAGAATTTTTCACTAATATGGAGACGTCCCTATATACCGGTGAAGGGCTTCAAATTTAAACCTTTACTCGGCACTCAAGGTCATTGAGCAGTGAGGGTTTTTTATCGTATCAACGCCTACCGTGACACGGCGCCTCGGTTTTAAGGCCTTAACCGAAAGACCCACAGCTTTCACTCCAAAGTGCCGAGCGCTTGGCGAAGGAACATTTGCTACCTTTTTTTATCAACTTAGGTCAGTCGCTTCCGTGATTCGAACACACGACCCTATGATCACGGACCGAGCGTCTACCGACTGAGCTACCGTGACGGTTGAAATTTTTTATAAAAGATACTTGAGTTTCTCATCGACAATATCTATGTCTTTAGAGATCAGGTCTTCAAGCAATCTGTTGGCAACTAAGGATTCTAATTGTGCCTCTTTGTAAGCAAATCTGTTTTTGTATTCTTAGGAATAAGAATTAATTCAAAAACATGATGTGAAAAGAAGAGTTCTTCTAGTGGCCTTCAATTCAACAATTATCGCCCGCGTGGTGCAGTGGTTAGAGCGCCTGCTCTAGAGCCGAAAAGGAAGAAGCTGATCCGTACGTCGCGGGCTCGAAGACTGGTCCTTCGGATGAAACCGTATAAACCGAGGTACCGTGTTGCAGTAGGTGTTCGCACAAAAAAGATCCCTCACTGCTCAATGGCCCTGAGTGCCGAGTATAGGTATAAGTTTGCGGCACTCCACAGGCAAATAGTGACGTCTCCATATGAGTGAAAAATTCTCGAGAGGGACTTTAAACAATAAACAGACTAACAAAAAATTCGACATTTAAATACAAGTATATCAATGACGATTTATCAATCAATAATATTCCTTTTTTCAAACGTTTATTTTATATATCCAGCAGCACTCTAATTAAAAGGCAATACAGAGTCTGACACATCTGCTTTATACTGAGATGTTTTACAAGAGAAAAACATTGAAAAAGTAACAACTATATGATGAACATATTACAAGTTCTATCGTCAGCTTCCCTTATTAAAGCAGCAATATGCCATTGTCACCTGCAGACGGTGTTTATGTCTCTCGGTTGATTCGATACGCAAGACCATGTTCTCGTAAAATCAATTTTCAGAACGAGGCAGGTTAAAAAGGGGTATCAGCAATCTCGTTTAAAGCCATGATTTTGCAAATTATATGGTATATACTATGACCTTCTTTGCAATTACAACTTGTCATTAAGTCGAAAGTTGACTGACGATTTTAAATACAAATTGTTAGGCCACTATTTCCATACTGAAATGCCCACGGATTTATCTGCTTACTGGACAAATTGCTCAGGGTGGGTGCGGCAATTTGATATGGAATGCTTACTCCTCCATAACACCTGATCCTTTTCTGAAGTTTTTCGGGGTCCTTGATTGCTCTGCTCTCGATTTGTGTTGTTTATTTGGACTTCTGAGTATGATTGCTGTTCCTTATCTTTATATATCATTCAAGATCTTTCACCTTTTTATTGAATGTTTGGATGTGATATACTAAAGGAAAGGTTTTAGGAATGACTGAAATGTTGAATTTCTACTAGGTTTAAAACATCAGTTCAATGCTACTTTTCATCAGATGTCTTTACGTATCAATTTTCAACCAATGAATGAGTCAACATGGACCCATGAAACACCAGAGGTGGGATCGGGTGCCTAGGAGGAGTAAGCATCCCCTGTCCACCGGTCATCTATAGCCCTTTGTATTGGTCAGGTAAACTGAGTAATCGATATTCAAAATTAACATAAAACAATGTCCTATTAATTGGGATGTCAGAAAAATACAATTCAACCATATGTTGTATCTGCAAATGAGATCATTATAACGACTATTGAATTTGCGAAATGCTGACTTTGAACAAGAAAGTTAAAAACCCTGTTATATCAACTCAGAAGATAGTAGAATGTCAGTATATGAATAAGAAAAGTTGATGGGAAAGCTGAACTTGTCGCTCGTTTGTCAAAGGAGACTAGTCCTTCAATATTCTCAATTTCTTATATGAAACACACCTCAAATTTTAGTGTTAAATTCTACTAGGGTAACAAATGTTAAAAGTAAAAAAAATAATCCGTTGCCTGTCTCTCAGAATTTTTTAAGAGTAATTTCTTCAAAATATGTGTAACTAAATGTTATCTAAAATTCGGTTATGAGTCTCAAATCTGTTCTTAATAATGAAATTGAAATGAAAGATCAAAGAACTGTGTGATGAAAATGGCACAAGCCCAACCGTAAACATTCTGAGTCTCTAAAGAGGAGTTTCCAGAGTCAGCTTTTCAGACCAAATCATCACTTACTAAGACTAGGCACTGAATCCCAAGTAGCTGTTTCCCAGCATAATGTCAGCAAGCTGATAATTTGCACAAACTTATGAATCAGATAATTTATTACCATTTGGTATAAGGACATAATGGAAAGCATTTCTACTGATATATATCAGCTTACGCAACAGTTGTACAATGTGAACGAAAGTAAAAGGGTTATACATACCCAAAGCACTAACATGAAATGTTGTTTTTCGTACACATTAATGGATGTCAGATGTGATGTTTCACAAAGCAATCATGATCTTGTCTACGTGACTGTTCCCGTGCGCTATATCTACGATAATGATTAGCAAATCAGAATCTATTTGTGTTTTGTTCTTCATTCCGCACCCAATATTATAGTCCAAAAGTGATTAAGTTTGCTAGCAAGAGGTTGTGTAAAATTATTTACCAATGTATTTATGGTGAGGGTTTAGAAATTGGAACAAGCTAAACATTTTTCTATTTTTGATCATGAATTACAAGCAACGTCCAATTTTATCATTATTCAAAGAATAGGTATCGCCTCATGGTAATGAATGATGCACTCCTAAACAACCTCGATGCAATTAATATGTTTCTTATTTGAGCCATAAATGGAATTGAAGAATTGTTTACTGTTATAAGAAGTTCACAGTGTTTTAGACTGAAATTACATTTTGTTTACATTTTTAAAACTGACTAATAAATGTGTTAAATTGCAGTAGTTCATGTCTGTACATTGAGAGAAGGCATTAACCCTTTCACGATAACTGCGGTACTACTCTTTTGCAGGGCAAATTAATTATGTTTGGTGAAGTTTGTAATGACAAATAATTAAATGACGTTTATTAAAGAAATTGCCTTTACGTAATATATCACCAAAATATATCATTTTGTCCTGCAAAAGAGCAGTACCAGTTCTCGTGAAACAGTCTATTAAAACACACGTATAATGAAGCATATAAAACATTTAATTCAAAGACAGGTATAATAACAATCAATAGTAAACATCTTATATGGAATGTCTTAAACTTACTCGTATAATGTCAT